CCCAGACTGGACTAGGGGTATACATAGTCTCCAACAATTGACAAGTGTTTATACATGTACCACACATCAAGCTCTATAGATTCCAGACTGTACTAGGGGTATACATATTCTCCAACAATGGACAAGTGCGTATACATGTACACCATATCAAGCCCTTAATATCCCAGACTTTACTAGGGGTTTACATGGTCTCCAACATTGGAGAAGTGCTTATACATTTACCACACATCAAGCTCTATAGATCCCAGAATCTTTACTGGAGGTATACATAGTCTCCAACAATGGACAAGTGCCTATACATGTACCACACATCAAGCTCTAAAGATCCCAGACTCTATACTAGGGGTTTACATGGTCTCCAACATTGGAGAAGTGCTTATACATGTACCGCACATCAAGCTCTCAAGATCTCAGACTGTGTACAAGTTGTAAATACATTTATCAGACATTACTGAAAATCTGTCATTACAACGACAAAAAAATTATATAAAAAGATAACCACTTTCCAGGTTGTTCAGTTGGGACAGGTTGATTGAACTATTTTTTAGAGTTTTAAAAGTCCCTTTTTAAGCTTGATCAGTGGAATTAAGGTAGTTTATTAGATTAATATATTTTACCAAAAATCAAACAGCCTGTTGGACCCCTTGAGGAAAAAAATGAAAACAACACGTTATAAATTTCATGCGTCCAAAGCACTTTTCTGGATTTACCTTCAACAGGAACACTCAAAGCCGAATATTTGAAATCCAAGGATGTATAAGGACTGAAAACGTTGAAGAGCTATAAACCAAAAAGGACCTTAAAAATAGCCAAATCCATCTAAGACCAACTTTGCTTGAGGGAGTTGAAACCTTAGTTTTTTTTATTAATTTCAAAATTGATAAACCGGCAATTTTAGAAAGTTTGTTATAAATCATGTCAGTACCAAAGTACTGACTACTACGCTGATGATACCCTCGGGGACTGTTAGTCCACAAGCAGAGGTATTGACTCAGTGCTGTAAAAAATGATAACAACACATTATAAATTTAATGTGTCCGAAGCGCTTTTCTGGATTTACCTTCATAAGGAACACTCAAAGCAGAATATTTGAGAAAATGCATTCAGGGGTCACATTCAATTTCTACACTATTGGTAAAGTTTGTATTTATAATGTGACATGTGATTACAGTTTTAACTTCCTATGCTTGTTTGTTCAAAAGATTTCACTGATTACTAGACAACTAGAAATACATTTTTAAATAAAATGCTCCGCAGGGCGCAGCTTGATACGACCGCAGAGGTCGAACCCTGAACAGTTGGGGCAAGTATGGACACAACATTCAAGCTTGATACAGCTCTGAATATGGATTGTTATTAAATATTTGACACAGCATAGGTTTCTGACACAGAAAGAATGTGGTCTAAGAACTTGAATTTTTTTTAATTTACCTATTATGGTCCAATGTCCAAAATCAAAATACATGGTTAGATTCAGCATATCAAAGAACCCCATATATTCAATTTTTGTTAAAATCAAACAAAATTTAATTTTGGACCCCAACTTCGACAAACTTGAAAACTGGGCCCATAATCAAAAATCTAAACACATGTTTAGATTCAGCATATCAAATAACCCCAAGAATTCAATTTTTGCTAAAATCAAACTAAGTTTAATTTTGGACCCTTTGGACCTTAATGTAGACCAATTTAAAAAACGGGACTTAAAATTAAAAATCTAAATACACGGTTAGATTTGGAATATCAAAGAACCCCAATAATTCAATTTTTGATGAAATCAAACAAAGTTTAATTTTGGACCCTTTTGACCTCAATATGAACCAATTTGATAGCGGGGCCCACAAATAAAAAATCTAAATTCATGGTTAGATTCAGCATATCAAAGAACCCCATATATTCAATTTTTGTTGAAAACAAACAAAGTTTAATTTTGGACCCCAACTTGGACAAACTTAAAAACTGGGCCCATAATCAAAAATCTAAACACATGTTTAGATTCAGCATATCAAAGAACCCCAAGAATTCAATTTTTGTTAAAATCAAACTAAGTTTAATTTTGGACCCTTTGGACCTCAATGTGGACAAAGTTGATAACGGGGCCCAAAAATCAAAAATCTAAATACATGGTTAGATTCAGCATATCAAAGAACCCCATATATTCAATTTTTGTTGAAATCAAACAAAGTTTAATTTTGGACCCCGATTTGGACCAACTTGAAAACTGGGCACATAATCAAAAATCTAAATACATGTTTAGATTCAGCATATCAAAGAACCCCAAAAATTCAATTTTTATTAAAATCAAACTAAGTTTAATTTTGGACCCTTTGGACCTTAATGTAGACCAATTTGAAAACGGAACCAAAAATTAAGAATCTAAATACACGGTTAGATTCGGCATATCAAAGAACCCCAATAATTCAATTTTTGATGAAATCAAACAAAGTTAAATTTTGGACCCTTTGGACCTCAATGTGGACCAATTTAAAAACGGGGCCCAAAATCCAAAAACTTAATACACGGTTAGATTCAGCATATTAAAGAACCCCAAGAATTCAAGAATAAAACCCCATTGAAATTGATCAAGAAATAAGCAATTTATACGAAGTATCTTCTTTTGCACAATACTGTGCAATTGAATATTTCTTGCTATTGCGCAATACTGTACAATTGACAATTTCTTGCTATTGCGCAATATTGTGCTATTGGATATTTCTTGCTATTGCGCAATACTGTTAAATTGAAGATTTCTTGCTATTGCGCAATACTGTGCAATTGAAGATTTCTTGCTATTGTGCAATACTGTGCAATTGAAAATTTCTTGCTATTGCACAATACTTATTATATAATAATTTACACATCCTGTTTGGTGTGTATCTCCTACCATATCATTATTATTTGCTTTTAAATATAAATCAGAAATAACCACCTTAAAATGGAAAATTTTAAAAGAAAAAAAAAAGGAAAAAAAGAAAAAAAAAAAAAAAAAAAATCCCCCCCCCCCCAAATTTTTTGAACCCCTTATGATTCATCACCCCCAAACTCAATCCCAGCCTTCCCTTTGTGGTATGGTACCTTGCAGTACAATTTCAGAGAGATCCATACACTTGAACACAAGTTATTGTCTGGAAACTAGAAAAAATGCTTATTTTTGGCCCCTTTTTGGCCCCCCAATTCCTAAACGTTTCAGGCAATTACCCCCAAACTCAATTCCAGCTTTCCCTTTGTGATATGGAACCTTGTAGTACAATTTCAGAAATATCCAAACACTTACACACAAGTTATTGTCATGAAACTAGAAAAATGCTTGTTTTTAGCCCCTTTTTTGGCCCCTAATTCCTTAAATTTTGAGGCAATTACCCCCAAAATCAATTACAGCCTCCCCTTTGTGATATGGAACCTTGTGGTACAATGTCAGAGAGATCCATACACTTACACACAAGTTATTGTCTGGAAGTTACAAAAATGCTTATTTTTGGCCCCTTTTTGGCCCCTAATTCCTTAACTGTTGGTACCATAACCCCCAAAATCAATCCCAACCTTCCTTTTGTGGTATTGAACCTTATGGTGAAATTTCATAGAAATCCATTCACTTAAACTAAAGTTAGAGTGCGAAAACCAGTGTGTCTTCGGACGACGCCAGACGACGCCGGACGACGACGACGACGACAACGACGACGACGACGACGCCAACGTCATACCAATATACGACCAAAAAATTTTTAATTTTTGCGGTCGTATAAAAATCTTCTCTGAAACCATGGGAGTAAATCATCTTCAGGGTTTCTTGCATTACGTTTCTGTTTTTGTTCCTGCCAATTCATCCAACATGGCTGCTATGGCTAAAAAATATTCGTGCAAATTTCAAACTTCCTATACCTATCATGCCTATGGTTCAATCAATATCTTTACCATTAACTCAATCCTAAGTTGCAAGATTTGTGAAATTTGTTGTTGGTGAGATTATCCTGGAATAGGTTCATTTGGATTCTGTTGAATTGTCTCATTGGCAATCATACTACATCTCCTTATTCTATACAGACTGTTGAATTGTCTCATTGACAATCATACTACATCTCCTTATTCTATACAGACTGTTGAATTGTCTCATTGACAATCATACTACATCTCCTTATTCTATACAGACTGTTGAATTGTCTCATTGACAATCATACTACATCTCCTTATTCTATAGACTGTTGAATTGTCTCATTGGCAATCATACTACATCTCCTTATCTTATACAGACTCTGTTGAATTGTCTCATTGGCAATCATACTACATCTCTGTATTTCATACAGACTCTGTTGAATTGTCTTATTGGCAATCATACTACATCTCCTTATTTTATAGAGAGTCTGTTGAATTGTCTCATTGGCAATCATACTACATCTCCTTATTCTATACAGACTGTTGAATTGTCTCATTGACAATCATACTACATCTCCTTATTCTATACAGACTGTTGAATTGTCTCATTGGCAATCATACTACATCTCCTTATTCTATACAGACTGTTGAATTGTCTCATTGGCAATCATACTACATCTCCTTATTTTATACAGACTCTGTTGAATTGTCTCATTGGCAATCATACTACATCTCCTTATTTTATACAGACTCTGTTGAATTGTCTTATTGGCAATCATACTACATCTCCTTATTTTACAGACTCTGTTGAATTGTCTCATTGGCAATCATACTACATCTCCTTATCTTATACAGACGTACATATGTACCACAAACAGTTAAACAATAAGCCAACCACTTCTTTGTGCACAGGATTAAAAAAAGCATGATGTATATCAAAGGGAAGGCCAAAAAAAAGACAATAATTTCTCAGGAGAAAGTACTATTGATAGCAATAAATTAATCCAGCAGGGATAATTGTTTTTAGCAGAAAGGACTACTGATAGCAAGCTATGGCAATAGCTCATCCTGGCTATTTTAGTAAGTTGAGGTAAAATAACTGACATGCAATGTATAACAATCAATAAATCTCTCAGTTGCTATACAGTTTATTACATTTAATAAAACTTAAAAAAAACAAAGCTGCTGATACTATTATACTGATACATAGAAAATTGAAATGAAAAAAAATTACAGTATATAACTTATTTCAAAGCACCAATGACAGTTTTCTAAATAAATAAAAATAAATAAAGTTATAAGCAATATCTAAATTCATTTTCTTTCCAATTTTAATACTTAAAGCCAGGACACAGTCATCATGCAGTTGCTTAGGTTAGTTTTAATTATACATTTCATTAATGTATTCATCATATAATAAACACCAAACAGGTTACATCTCTTCAAGATACATAGTCATTACTTGTTTTGTGTTCTGTAGCAATGAATTGTTATCTGAATGGTAAAATAAAATGTAATTTCACACCTTATTATTTCAGACATATTCTTAAGTTTCCTTTAAAGGTACAAAATAAATCAAGGAAAACTGAAAAATTAACATCTTTCTCTAGCAAATGCATATCTGAAAAGTGGAAAAATAGTTTTGTTACTGTAAAAAGATCTTCAGAAATCAGGTATTAATTTTTTTTCAACATAACCTCCTAAATATAAAAATAAAATCCTGACCATTCCATTAAAGAATGTCATAATAATAGTTCTAATAATTAGTTACAATAGGTAATGTTTACTGTATATACATTTAGAACAAAAATGCAATATATTATATCCTTAAACCTGTCAAATAAACCATTTTGATGCTGCGTCATTAAAAAAAAAATGTCAGTTTTTACTGTATGCTTGGTATTAAAATAGATATTTTTTTTCTATAAAATATTAATTGGATAATAATAATTGAGCTCTAACCCCCCCCCCCCTTACTCATTGATTTACAATGAATATTTCATGCAATATCCCAAAACTAAATGTTGCATTTTATTGTATAGTCAGAAAAAAACAAGAATGGATTTTTCATCATGTGAACATCAAAGCTTGATTCTTTGGCAGATTTCTAACAAGATGATCACACAAATGTTAAATACCTGGATATTAAATAATAATAATTTAGGAAGTATTTTTCTCCAAAATCAGACAAAGACATGAATGATCTCACGTTCCTTTTAAAAACAAGTGGCAAATTCCTTTGTTCAAAGACACAAGCCCATAAAACTTTCTAAATGCTTTTTTGACTCTTAAGGAAAATGTTTGTTTTAATATTGTATAGTTGCTAAGGATTTATTCTTGCTAATTTTGTGATTACATCTGGAAAGTATCCCCTTGTGTAAATTTGTTCTTCATGGAAGAACAGAATCAAGAACAAGAAAAATACCAAAAATAAAACCAGGCTAGATTATTTTTAAATCAACTCCGCAATAATTAACCTCTTTACATTAATGTGTTAAAAAGCAGGGTCAATCTGTTTTCAAAAATTACAAAATTTCAATCAATATCTATATAATGTCATATCACTAAATATTTTAATCATGTTTTCCTTTAATCCAATATTAAAATATTGTAGTACGAACAACAACAAATACAAGTATCACAAGTGCTTGGCATTCACTGGTATTATTTGTCATATCATTCCAGGTTATATCTAAGTTCAGCCTTTATCAACTATTGTAGAGTAGGATTTTGGGTTTTTGTGCTCGTATAGATGGAGCTCCATATTTTTGCTTAGCTCGTATAAGAAAAGAGTTCACCATCTCTTTCACAACTGTATCAAAGAAAACTGAAGATAACTGAGAGTGCAGAGCATGTCTAAACTCAAATGAAACCTGCAAAAGAGTAAATTCATTATAAGGATAAGAAACAGAGAAATTTGTACAAACATGTCTAAAAAGCTACAAACTTCTTTTAATACAACTGACACCTAAAAATGTACATAATTTGAATCAATATGACAATATTATTACTAATAAATGCAGAATCGATTTCCGATTTTTTCCAGGCATTTAAATTTCAACATCTTGCATGTTAAAAACTTAGTTCATTGTAGTAAATAAACTTAGTTGTTTCACATGTCATTGGGTTATCTCCAGGATATTATAAAAGGTCTTTTCTTTTTAAAGTTGTAGCTAGTACCTCATCCCTAACATATTTTCCCAAACCCATATAATATTTTCTTTCATAATTTTATATTATCTATACTTTGGTAAATATTACTGAGATTTCCATTAGAACATAACTTTTGTTGTTGCTTTAACTTGATCTTCATTGCCATCTGCATTCAAGGAAAAAATGGACTCTTGTTTAAAAGATATTACATTTGAAGATAACAGACCAATATTAAAATGTTTGGCTATGGCAGCAATATACAGTTAGGAAATAAAATAAATTTTAATTGATATTTTTTTCCTGATTTTCTAACAAATTAAGCTACTGTTTGTGTCATGCAATATGTATGAAATCATCAGTATCTTCGATAGATTTGATTTCCAAAAGTTAAGTATTGAAATATAATTTCTTTTTTGTGTATTAAAGGCAACATTCTGCATTTATTTCTAAGGATACAGAAATAAACTGCTTCGCTGAGAGCAGCTGGATACGCCCGCAGAGGTCCAACCCTGAACAGTTGGGGCAAAAATGGACACAATATTCAAGCTTGATACAGGTCAGAATTTGGATTGTAATTAAATATTTGACTTATTATAGGTTTCTGAATAAATGTAGTCAAAGAATTTGAAATTTGTTATATGAATTGAATTTATATTCAATTAAAGATTTCTTGCTGTTGTGCAATACACTGTGCTGTTGCGCAATACTTAGTAAATCTGTTGTCAGACTATAAACAAACAATAACTTCTCAATGTTATATCAGAAATTTATAAAAAAAACTAAAGGGAGGTTATCTTAATAGATATAAATCAGTCATCAAATTTTAATGAAAACTGCTCTAAGCACTTTAAGGATATTGTCCAAAAACTTGAAAATCAATCCTTTTTTTATGAACTGGAAAATCCCCCTTTTTGAAGTGAATAAAACCCCTTAAATCAGAAATGTATGGTCTAAAATTTATAAAAATCAAAAGGGAGCTCATGTCGATAGAAATAAACAATTCACCAAAGTTTCTTGCAAATTGGTGAAATTGTTTTTGAGTTATTGTCCACAAACTGGAAAATCCCCCCCCCCCTATTTTAATGAATAAAACCCCATAACTTGGAAATGTAAAATCTAAAATTTATAAAATTCTAAAGGGAGCTCACATCAATACTGAATAGATATAAACAATTCAATTCACCAAAGTTTCATAAAAAATGCTGAAAGCATTTTTGAGTTATTGTCAGAAAACTGGAAAATCACCCTTTTTGTAATGAATAAAACCCCTTAAATCAGAAATGTATGGTCTAAAATTTATAAAAATCAAAAGGGAGCTCATGTCGATAGAAATAAACAATTCACCAAAGTTTCTTGCAAATTGGTGAAATTGTTTTTGAGTTATTGTCCACAAACTGGAAAATCTCCCCTTTTTTAATGAATAAAACCCCAAACTCGGAAACGGTAAATCCGAAATTTATAAAAAACAAAAGGGAGCTCACGTCAATAGATATAAACAATTCACCAAAGTTTCATGCATATTGATTAAAGCGTTTTTGAGTTAATGTCCAACATGTTGACGACGGACGGACAGACGGTCAACGGTATACCATAATACGTCCCGTAAACAGCCGTATAAAAATGGGTTTGAAAATGTCAAACTTATCCCCAAAATTTGACCCAAAGTAGAATTTCCATTCCTTGGAGTGATACCTTATGAAACTACTGACATTTAACTTTCAAAATATTTAAAAAAAAAAAAAAAAAAAGGGTTCTTTTCAGCTCATATTTGTGTAAAATTGTATCACAAAGTTTTTGGCCAAACAAAATGTAAGTAAACATTACAATATAGCTATATCACTTAAAGCCATCTTATTGCAAAAGAAATCAAAGAGCTGAAAGCTCTAAGTAAAAATGACGCCATTGTCTCTCATATTAGGATATTTTTGATGCAAGTCTTGATTTTTACTTAATTTACCTACTGAATCTTAGGCGTTCAGTTTATGGTAGGTAGGGTAATTGATAGAATAGATATGAATTGTTTCCACAATCTATAGCGTTTTTATTTGTTTGTCAAGATATATATATATATATGTGTGTGAAGTGAAAATAACTACTAGTTGTTCTGCTGTACAAAGAAATAGCTCAAGACTACCTGAACAATCTACAATATTCAAAGTAATATGTGAATTTGTTTCCCTTATTTGTAGAATTATTTAACAAAATGATTATGAAGAGCCTGTAGTAAGAAAGCTCTTATACCAAACATAGTCCTTATTCAAGAGATAAGTTACAGGTGACCTAGTGACATAATCACATTGTTATTTCAGTTACCTAAACGTGATCAATTTCTGTAGATTTAGACAATAGTATTGTTATACTAGTTTCACAATTACAAACAATGTGACACCATTTATACAACTTAATTTCATTGTGAAGAGCCTGTAGTAATCAAGCTTACACTGAAATCTTAAAATGACAACATAAATTATTGCAAAATTATTTTTTTCAAATGATTTAATGTTTAGTACCGTAGTCATTTATTTCAAATAATTGACCCGTAATAAAATAAGGAGATGGGAGGTGATTGCCAATGAGATAACAGTCTGAAGTACTATCTACCAGAGTCCAAATAATGTGGCTGTTGGCAAGTTATAAGTCACTTTCAGACCTCAACAATGTACCAAACCGGTTTATTGTTTTCATGTACCACAGGAAAAAGAGGAGTTGTGGCCAGGTGCTGCGTGGATTTAAAACTATTAGAATTACACAGTTTTGTCTGCATTCAGAGAAAATTTCATGGTGTAAACACAGCCATTTTTGTTGGTGTATATTAGATGAACCTTAAAGGTGGATTATCAGATTATTGGTCACAGGAATATTAAAGTGATTGTTGACTTTTCAAATATAAAAATATTCACAAAGAAGGAAATATATCTGATTCCTTGTGAAAATTAAAAGATAGAACATTGTACTTTAATGGATTTGGTAATTTAATTTCAAGAATGACAACATGTATGATCTGTTACCATAAGTGTAAAATTTGTCCATTAGCTACTGTTTATTATGTTTATGGTTGATCTGCATCTTTGAACTTTGTCAACCAGTCATGATTTACTTCTTAAGCTGTGTAAGAACCTTCTTGTAATTGAAAATTGGTCTGCCATGATCACGATTTCTACAATATGCTGAGTTCCTGACAAGTTCAAAATTTAGCACATCTGCAGTTTACAATACCCAAAGTTCAGGAGAAACAACGATTTTGATTGGCTGATCACAGTTGTCTCCCTTGGGAAAAGTTTGAGAAAGTTCGAAATTGGGAACAGAAGAATTTAACAAAATCGTGCAATCGTGACAAGGGGTCAAAATCGAGTATTTCACGCCTGAATCGTGCAAGTTGACAGGTTAAGAAATTAAAGAATGAAAATTACAAATTTAAGTCTGTTCCAGTTGTATTTCCAACAAGATGATTGAAAATTGTCCGACGGTCACGAAGGTTAATGACCGCCATTTGTACACAACAAGACATGTTGAAGGGAGACAACACCATCTGTTATTTTAAAATGTACATTTGCAACGCTGGAGTTGTCTTTCTTTTACCAATGTATGAGCATACGAACATTCACTTTAAGTATGTAAAATACGGAACCGAGTTCCGAATGCGGATTGGAAGTCTGGTCAATGGTAAAAGAAAATTGACTGCGTCATTTTCTAATAAAAATTTTCCAAAGAATCATTAGCAGTTTATCTGTCGATTTCAACTTTTATCAGTTCACTTGACCCATTGAATATTTTCTTTCACAATGAAATGAATTGCACAATAACTTTTATATTTGAAATTTTCACAGGGCCAAAAATGTGAAACCAAATTCTTAACTGTGTATTGCTACCTATGCTATATTTTTTACCCCATTAATTAAGAATTTTGGACATGAAGAAGTGAAACTTTCTTTCACTTGTTCAGTGCTGAAACATTCCAAAATTTTTAATGGCAAATAAAACACAAATCCACCTAATTCTTGTGATTCTGTCTATCTACTGCATGTCTTTTCAATCTAAATTCAGTAAATCCTGGAAGGAGGCTGAGGTTTTTCCATTAATTTTAGTCAATTGTTTTTATCAAGATTGTTTTACTAAATTACTTCACCCTAAAAAAACAGTTACCAAAGAATCATTTTAAACAACAGATTCAGCTATTATACTTACAGAAAAATCTAGGACACAGGTATTAGGGATATCAGCTACACCCGGACTAAACTGCCATGTTGTTAGTAAATGATTAAACAGTCTACCATCAGTACACTCAGACTGAAACAAAAAGGTTACCATCAATACATAAATATGAATGGTTAAACAGTTTAATTGATTGTTGGTTGCTTAACGTCCAGTGGCATATATTTCATGTAAACAGTTTAAATATTTGTGAATAGCAGTCTACCATCTGCACAGGTAAGACTGAAAATAAATGGTTTCACAGTCGATCATCAATTAACTAATAAACATTTTCCTAGAAATGAGATTTACTTAAGCAAATGCAACTGCATACCAAATATCATTGACTTACCATTAGTGGCTCATCTTAAACTGACCTACTGTAGATTCAAAAATTACTGCATGCATTTATTACTGCCAATTTTGTAGAATGGACTAAAATGTGAGATTAATTATTGCGATTTCAGGAAAATCTGCAAACAATTATATATATCAGATATAAGAATGCGAGTTCTTATTAATGCGTAACTCATTCAGTTGCATTATTTGCATAAATAAAAACATCGCAATAATTTCTGAATTTACAGTAATCAAACTTTAACATGCAAACTAAGCAAAAATTTCAAAGTTAATAGACCAAGACTGAGGGGGCCATGCCAAATAATCTCCATGGATATAAGATGTGCCAACACTAATACAACTGTATACCAAATATCATTGACTTACCATTAGTAGTTCCTCTTAAACCGACCTTATCACAACCTTTGAAAAATTGTTGATCAATAAAAAAAGTTCAAGGTCAGATGAAACCTGCCAGACTCACATGCACAGCTTACAATCATACCATACACCAAATATAGCTGATCTATTGCTTATACTATCCGAGAAAAAGACCAAGCCGCAAAAACTTAACATTGACCAATTGACCAAGAAAATCAGGTCATACCTGCCAGTCTGAAATGTACACCTTACAATCATTCCATTATCCAAATAAAGTTGACCTATTGCTTATAGTGAATGTATCTGAAATACAGACTTGACCACAAAAACTTAACCTTGATCACTGATCCATTAAATAATGTCAAGGTCAGGTGAACCTGTCTGATGGACATGTAGACCTTGTAAGGATCCCATATACCCTATATAGTAATCCTCTTTACTCATAATAAGTGAGCAGTCTTTGCGCTCAACCACAGGCCCACTAGCCCAGGATTGTAAAAATGCTGTCGGGCCTGTAAAAATCATCTCAACAGGCCAACAGAATCTAACTAAAATTTTCGTTAAATTCAGCTACAGGCCTGTAGATTCAAAAGTTTATCGTGACGACTGAAAAATGAAATGCTTTGCTGAGCGCAGCTGGATACGACTGCAGAGGTCCAACCCTGAACAGTTGGGGCGAAAATGGACACAATATTTGCGCTTGATACAGGTCTGAATTTGGATTGTAATTAAATATATGACACATAATAGGTTTCTTACACCAAATAACTGTAGTCAAAGAACTTAGAATTGGTTATATGATTTGAATTCATAATCAATTTTTTGCATTTGTGCAATACACTATGCTGTTGCAAATTTATCTCCCCCCACCAAAAAAAAAACAAAAATTTATCCCCCCTTTTTTTGCTTTTGTAAAATGCACTATGCTGTTACATATTGACCCCCCCCCCCCCCCAAAAAAAAAAAATTTCCCACAATTTCTTTTTTACCCCCCTCCCCCTTTTCCAAAAAAAAATTCTTTCCCTCAAGATATGGTCATAATCTCAATTCAAATTTCCAATGGAGTTTGCAACCATAATTACCAATTTAAATACATCATAAAAGTCTTAAATAGATAATTTAAAAGCAGTGTAAGGGAGGTAATCCAACATTGTACAACTTTGTACAGTTTTGTTTTTGGACTACCTCCCTTACATTGCTTTTAAATTGTCCATTTACCAGGAAACCCTTGTTTTTTCCCCTTTTTTGCCCCTAATTCCTAAACGGTTTGAGCCATAACCCCCCACAGCCAATCCTAACCATCCCTTTGTGGTATGGAAACTTGTGGTATAATTTCAGAGAGATCCATACACTTAAACACAAGTTATTGTCTGGAAGTTACAAAAATGCTTATTTTTGGCCCCTAATTCCTTAACTGTTGGTACCATAACCCCCAAAATTAATCCCAACCTTCCTTTTGTGGTATTGAACCTTATGGTAAAATTTCAAAGAGATCCATTCACTTAAACTAAAGTTATTGTGCGAAAACCAATATGTCTTCAGACGACGACGACGCCAACGTCATACCAATATACGACCACAAAAAAGTTTGCGGTCCTATAAAAACTATAAAAATTCTTTTAAGCAGTTGCTATACCATGAGAATGAGATCAAGGACAATAATCATATGACAGACAGAAACTTTGTACCATAAGACATCTGCATAGTAGGTATGAAGCGTCCAGGTCTTCTACCTTCCCTCAAATAAAGCACAAAAACAACTTGCACAAAACACCAATATAAGAGTACTTGTAGTTACTGAAATCTAGTTTAAAGCCAATTACAACTAATAAATAAATCATTTTCTCCCAGACCAAAGGATCAATCAGTACACATTCAACGGATTTGTGTAAAGACGTCATAAACAGTCTGAATAAAATGCTCCGCTGGGCGCAGCTTGATACGACCGCAGAGGTCGAACCCTGAACAGTTAGGGCAAGTATGGACACAACATTCAAGCTTGATACAGCACTGAATTTGGATTGTGATTAAATATTTAACACAGCATAGGTTTCTGACACAGAATGAATGTGGTCTAAGAACTTAAAAAATTTTAATTTACCAATTCAATCCATATCATTATCATTTGCTTATATATATAAATCAGAAATAACCAATTTAAAATGGAAAATTTTAAAGAAAAAAAAGGAAAAAAAGGGAAAAAAAAATCCCCCCCCCCAATGTTTTGAACCCCCTTATGATTCATCACCTCCAAACTCAATCCCAGCCTTCCCTTTGTGGTATGGTACCTTGCAGTACAATTTCAGAGAGATCCATACACAAGTTATTGTCTGGAAACTAGAAAAATGCTTGTTTTTTTGCCCCTTTTTGGCCCCAAATTCCTAAACGTTTAGGGCAATTACCCCCAAACTCTAACCCAGCTTTCCCTTTGTGATATGGAACCTTGTTGTACAATTTCAGAAAGATCCATACACTTACACACAAGTTATTGTCCTGAAACTAGAAAAATGCTTGTTTTTTTGCCCCTTTTTGGCCCCTTATTCCTAAAATTTTGAGGCAATTACCCCCAATATCGTTCCCAGCATTTCCTTTAGTGCTATGGTACCTTGCAGTACAATTTCAGAGAGATCCATACACTTGAACACAAGTTATTGTCTGGAAACTAGAAAAATGCTTATTTTTGGCCCCCTTTAGACACCTTATTCCTAAACGTTTAGGGCAATTACCCCCAAACTCGATTCCAGCTTTCCCTTTGTGATATGGATCGTTGTAGTACAATTTCAGAAAGATCCATACACTTACACACAAGTTATTGTCATGAAACTAGTAAAATGCTTGTTTTTTGCCCCTTTTTTGGCCCCTAATTCCTAAAATTTTGAAGCAATTACCCCCAAAATCAATCCCAGCATTCCTTTAGAGATATGGAACCTTGTGGTACAATGTCAGAGAGATCCATACACTAACACACAAGTTATGTCTGGAAGTTACAAAAATGCTTATTATTGGCCCCTAATTCCTTAACTGTTGGTACCATAACCCTCAAAATCAATCCCAACCTTCCTTTTGTGGTATTGAACCTTGTGGTAAAATTTCATAGAGATCCATTCACTTAAACTAAAGTTAGAGTGCGAAAACCAATGTGTCTTCGGACGTCGACGACGACGCCAACGTCATACTGTAAATTCAGAAATTATTGCGTGCATTTATTATTGCGATTTTGTCATTTTAGACTAAAATACGATTTCAATTTTTGCAATATTGAGAAAAATCCTGTTTTATTCATATAAAAAATTTCAAAATGCGAGTTTAAATTATTGCGATTATAACCCTGTCCAATTTTTCGCAATAATAAAAACATAGCAATAATTTCTGAATTTACAGTACCAATATACGACCACAAAAATTTTTTTGCGGTCGTATAAAAACGCATGACCATGCACCATTTTAAATTCAGGAACATAATCTGTACAGTTTGATTTAAATGGTTCTTCCATTTCCTTTTAAAATTTGAACCATTTAAACCTCTTTCTGACCATTTAGTGCCACATATGCCACACATCAAAGTCTACTGTTTCTTCTTGTATAGTTTTAATGTAAACTTTGACCTCCACCTTTTTAAATTTCCAATCAGTATGAAAGTAACAACACTTTTTACTGGCCTTCAAAAGAGCATATATATGTCAATTTTTTCCAATTGATTCAACCATATTTGAGATTAATAAAATGCTTCGCTGAGCGCAGCCTTATACAACCGCAGAGGTCGAACCCTGAACAGTTGGGGCAAGTTTGGACACAATATTCAAGCTTGATACTGTCTGAATTTGGATTGTAATCAAATTATTGACATAATATAGGTTTCTGACACAAAATAAATGTGGTCAAAGATCTTAAAAAATTGAAATGGGACATTTAATTTACCTAGTATGGTCTGAAATCCAAAAGCTAACAACATGGTTAGATTCAGCATATAAAAAAACACCAAAAATTTAATTTTAGTTGAAATCAAACAAAGTTTAATTTTGTAGCCTACAAACCTTAATATGGACTAATTTGCAAACAGAGCCCCAAAAAAAAATCTAAATGCACAATAAGATTCAGCATATCATAGAGCAGCAATAATTCAGTTTTTGATGAAATCAAACCAAGTTTAATTTTGGACCCTTTTGACCTCAATGTAGACCAATTTAAAAATGGGGCCCAATATCCAAAATAGTAATACAAGGTTAGAACCCCCAAAAATTAAAGACTTTAAATTAATCCCATTGAAATTGGTTAAAAGATTTGTATTTATTTTCAATTGAAGATTTCTTGCTATTGCGCAATACTGTGCAATTGAAGATTTCTTGCTATTGCACAATACTGTGCAATTGAAGATTTCTTGCTATTGCGCAATACTGTGCTATTGAAGATTTCTTGCTATTGCGCAAGACTGTGCAATTTAAGATTTCTTGCTATTGCGCAATACTGTGCAATTGAAGATTTCTTGCTATTGCGCAATACTGTGCTATTGAAGATTTCTTGCTATTGCACAATACTGTGCAATTGAAGATTTCTTGCTATTGCGCAATGCTGTGCAATTGAAGATTTCTTGCAATTGCACAATACTGTGCTATTGTGTAATACTGTGCTACTGCACAATACTTAGTTAATCTGTTATATATAATAATTTACACTCTGTTTGGTGTGTATCTCCTGCCATATCAGTATTTGTTGCTTTTATATATAAATCAGAAATAATCAATGTAAAAATGGAAAATATTTAGGAAAAAAAAATCAAATAAAATGCTTCGCTGGGGCGCAGCTTGATACGACCGCAGAGGTCGAATCCTGAACAGTTGGGGCAAATATGGACACAACATTCAAGCTTGATACAGCTCTGAATTTGGATTGTTATTAAATATTTGACACAGCATAGGTTTCTGACACAGAAAGAATGTGGTCTAATAACTTGAATTTTTTTAATTTACCTATTATGGTCCAATGTCCAAAATCAAAATACATGGTTAGATTCAGCATATCAAAGAACCCCATATATTCAATTTTTGTTAAAATCAAACAAAGTTTAATTTTGGACCCCAACTTGGACAAACTTGAAAACTGGGCCCATAATCAAAAAATCTAAACACATGTTAAGATTCAGCATATCAAAGAACCCCATGATTTCAATTTTTGCTAAAATCAAACTAAGTTTAATTTTGGACCCTTTGGACCTTAATGTAGACCAATTTAAAAAACGGGACTTAAAATTAAAAATCTAAATACACGGTTAGATTTGGAATATCAAAGAACCCCAATAATTCAATTTTTGATGAAATCAAACAAAGTTTAATTTTGGACCCTTTTGACCTCAATATGAACCAATTTGATAGCGGGGCCCACAAATAAAAAATCTAAATTCATGGTTAGATTCAGCATATCAAAGAACCCCATATATTCAATTTTTGTTGAAATCAAAAAAAGTTTAATTTTGGACCCCAACTTGGACCAACTTGAAAACTGGGCCCATAATCAAAAATCTAAACACATGTTTAGATTCAGCATATCAAAGAACCCCAAGAATTCAATTTTTGTTAAAATCAAACTAAGTTTAATTTTGGACCCTTTGGACCTCAATGAAGACCAATTTAAAAAACGGGACCCAAATTAAAAATCTAAAAACACGGTTAGATTTGGCATATCAAAGAACCCCAATAATTCAATTTTTGATGAAATCAAACAAAGTTTAATTTTGGACCCTTTTGACCTCAATATGAACCAATTTGAAAGCTGGGCCTACAAATAGAAAATCTAAATACATGGTTAGATTCAGCATATCAAAGAACCTCATATATTCAATTTTTGTTGAAATCAAACAAAGTTTAATTTTGGACCCCAATTTGGACCAACTTGAAAACTGGGCCCATAATAAAAAATCTAAACACATGTTTAGATTCAGCATATCAAAGAACCCCAAGAATTCAATTTTTGTTAAAATCAAACTAAGTTTCATTTTGGACCCTTTGGACCTTAATGTAGACCAATTTAAAAAACAGGACCCAAAATTAAAAATCTAAATACACGGTTAGATTTGAAATATCAAAGAACCCAAATAATTCAATTTTTGATGAAATCAAACAAAGTTTAATTTTGGACCCTTTTGACCTCAATATGAACCAATTTGATAACGGGGTCCACAAATATAAAATCTAAATACATGGTTAGATTCAGCATATCAAAGAACCCCATATATTCAATTTTTGTTGAAATCGAACAAAGTTTAATTTTGGACCCCAATTTGGACCAACTTGAAAACTGGGCCAAAAATCAAAAATCTAAATACATGTTTAGATTCAGCATATCAAAGAACCTCATATATTCAATTTTTGCTAAAATCAAACAAAGTTTAATTTTGGACCCTTTGGACCTTAATGTAGACCAATTTGAAAACTGGACCCAAAATTGGAAATCTAAATACACTGTTAGATTCGGCATAACAAATAAATAAATGTGATCAAAGATTTTACAAATCTAATGCGCCATACTGTGCAATTAAAGACTTCTTGAAATTTTTCAATATTTGAAATTTGAAAAAAAAATAATTTTTGAAGAATAATTCTTTTTAATTTCTGAAATCTGAAATAAGAAAAAATTGACCCTCCACAATTTCTTTTTATCCCCCCCCCCCTTTTTTCCCCCCAAAAATTCTTTCCCTCAAGATATGGTCATAATCTTAATTCAAATTTCCAATGGAGTTGGCAACCATAATTACCCATTTAAATTAACCATAGTGCTAACTTAATCTATTTTATAATAGAATTAAAAATATAGTGTCAAATCTTTCATATGGATTTTTTTGTAAAAAAAAAAGATGCAACATTTGCAGATATTTTTACTGGTCTTCCTTTATAAATATGCATTTCTTTAAACATAATTTAAAAGCAGTGTAAGGGAAGTAACCAAAATGTTGTATTTGGATTACCTCCTTACACTGTTTTAAATTGTCTTTATTGTTCATTAACCATTACTTTATACATAATTTAAAAGCAGTGTAAGGGAGATAATTTCAATGATGTATTTGATTTATCTCCCTTACACTGCTTTAAATTATGTTTTGTACTATAGTATTTGTCCATTAACCAGGACAACCCTGTTTTTCCCCCTTTTTTGCCCCTAATTCCTAAACGGTTTGAGCCATAACCCCCCAAAGCAAATCCTAACCATCCCTTTGTGGTATGGAAACTTGTAGTATAATTTCAGAGAGATCCATACACCGTTCCACAGTTATTGTCTGGAAACTAGAAAATGCTTATTTTTGGCCCCTTTTTGGCCCCTAATTCCTTAACTGTTGGTACCATAACCCCCAAAATCAATCCCCACCTTCCTTTTGTGGTATTGAACCTTATGGTCAAATTTCAAAAAGATCCATTCACTTAAACTAAAGTTAGAGTGCGAAAACCAATGTGTCTTCGGACGACGACGACGACGACGCCAACGTCATACCAATATACGACCACAAAATTTTTTTGCGGTCGTATAAAAATTATGAAAAAAAAATCCCCCTAAAAAAAATTTTGGAAAAAATTTGAAATTACGAAAAATCTTGAAGAAAAAAAGTATGAACCCCCCCTCCCTTGGAGTAATTACCCCCAAACTCAATCCCAGCCTTCCCTTTGTGGTATGGAACCTTGTAGTACAGTTTCAGAGAGATCCATACACATAAACACAAGTTATTTTCTGGAAATAGAAAACATTTTGTTTTTGACCCCTTTTTTGCCCCTAATTCCTGAACATTTGGGGCAATTACCCCCAAACTCAATCCCTGCCTTCCCTTTGTGAAATGGAACCTTGTGGTACAATTTCAGAGAGATCCATACACTCACACACAAGTTATTTTCCGGAAACTACAAAAATGCTTGTTTTTGACCTCTTATTCCTAAACTGTTGGTACCATAACCCCCAAAATCAACCCCAACCTTTCTTTTGTGGTATTGAACCTTCTGGTAAAATTTCATAGAGATCCATTCACTTAAACTAAAGTTATTGTCCGGAAACCAAATGTGTCTTCGGACGCTGATGATGACAACATGATAGCATTATACAAACTCAAAAAAAATTTTGCGGTTGTATAAAAAGTATTTCAAAGGTCAGCCCTAAAAAAGTGACAATTCAATCATTTCCTTAAAAAATTTGCAAAAGGAAATTGGCTTGGACAGTCATGACAGTGTTGGGCAGAAAAGACAACAAAAGTGGTATAAACTAATTGGATCACAACTTGTAAATATTGACAAACCAAGAAACAAACAAAACTGAAGGACAATTTATATACTCACATTATAAGAATGCATACCTTAGAAATTTGAGGCCTTTGTCCAACTACTTATTTTGAATCTTCAAATTGAGTTCTATGAACCTTGACGACTGCAAGTGCCTTATTAATCCCTTTCAAAAACCAAAGATTTAAACTGACTAAAATATTGTTACTATAGTATAATAATGTCATTTTCATTATATCAAAAGTGTAAGGTACAATGTAACATTATCTTGGGTTTGAAACAGATGACAAATTATAAGCTAAGATGAATTAGAAGGAGATGCAGGTACAAGATGCCTATTCTCATTTGTAAATATGGTAAAGTCTGTGTTTTGGTACAAGACACACAAAAAAGACAACCAGATAAAAATGCCTTATAACTTCTTATTAAAGAACAACATTGCATATATTATTTGAATGCTTTTGTTATGTATAAAATAGTATCATTTATTTCGTTCCTATGTCTGGTACCACAATACATGTACTAACCTTCACAAGGTTTGGTTTAGCAACTGTAACACAGGAAGTGTATCTTTCACTCAAAGGAGGAAACCCTACTTCCATCTTACATTTAAAACTTCCTGGTTTAATGTTGAATACAGTTGACTGGGTACACCAAGGAACAAATTCTGTATACTTTTCAACATCAGCAACAATCTCATACATCTGTTCCATGGAATACCTTTAAAATATAATGACAATTATTAGACTGGAAGTTCAGATTTTTTAGATGTTTTTATTATTGTGAAAATTGCATCAGATTTGGTTATGCAAAAATGTAAAAAGTGCATATCAAATTTTTAAAGCATTGCTAAGTATTGCAAGAAATCATAATGATTGATCTTGCATTTTTGTCTATGATTCAATAATCACAAAAATAAATGCATGCATAAATTTCTGATGTTACACAGTAATATATATTCTCTTTATTTCTACACATCATACTTTACAGTGAAATTTTCAAAATAAAAGATATTTTTCCTTTGTATGTGTGTTTTATTTGAATGCTGTTATCCTTTACTGGTTTCCCCTATCTTTTATAACAACCAAAAGGTAAACTCATCATCAGCATAAATACAACAAGACTTTGTCAGATTGACACCAAACCGGATTTCCTGCATGAAATGATATTTGCAAATCTGGACCCCCAAACAGGATCAAGTAAAAAACATAAATGAATTTTTGTAGCATTCAGAAATGGAAAAGCCAAAATCAATCTAAGTATCACTTTCGCTACTGTAAGGTCTACAACTCAACAACGATAAAAGTTAAAATGGTGAAAATCGAACTTGACCTTCAATTTAGTCACAGGAAACAACATATCTAAATTTGAAAAGATTTCGTTCAAGAGTTTTCAAGTTATAGCACGGACAATGCTGTAAGTATCACTTTTTGCTACTTAAAGGTCTACAACTCAACAAAAATAAAAGCTAAAATCATGAAAATCGAACTTGACCTTCATTTAGTCACAGAAAACAACATATTTAAATTTGAAAAGATTTAGTAAAAGCGTTTTCAAGTTATTGCACGGACAATGCTGTAAGTATCACTTTTCCCTACTTAAAGGTCTACAACTCAAAAATGATATAAGCTAAAATCATGATAATCGAACTTGACCTTCATTTAGTCACAGGAAACAACATATTTAAATTTGAAGATTTTGTCAAAGCCTTTTCAAGTTATTGAATCATCAATGCCCACATACATCACCAAACTAATAACTGATATTTTCCTTCAGAAATCCAGTTAAAAATGAGGTTGGTAGGATTGCGAATGCGACAACTATCCACCAGAGTTCAAATGAAGTGGATAAACAGCAATTTTAGGCAACTGTACAGCCTGAATTCAACAATGAGAAAAACCCATACTGTTTAGTCGGCTACAAAAAGGCCTTGAGGTGAAAAATGCCCAAAATATTCAAAGGATAAAACTCACGGCCTGATTTATAACAAAACAATTTAAGAAAAGCAAATATCACAGACATACATGTTTGTGAGCACTCAATCCTCCCCTAACCTCGGACAGTGGTGTAACAACACAACAAACATGACAAAAGAACAAACTGAAAAAATCAGGTGCAATTGACTTGACTCAAAAGAATGGTACGAGACACAAAAACAACTGACATAAAAACAATAGACACAAAGCACCAATATAAGAGTCTCTAGTTTAAACCCAATTACAACTAATAAATAAATCATATTCTCTGAGACTAAAGCATCAATCAATCCACACCCAAGGGTTTTAGTGTAAAGATGTCATAAACAGTCTTAGAAACGCATGACCTTGTGCTATGCCAAAATAAAAAGTTAACAGTACTTTAAGTCCATGGAGCAAAAAGTGTAGGTCAAAATGACCTTATTGTTTAAGGCTACAATATTTCCCTAAAAGTGTCCTTACAAGTAAGAGTATTTTTCAATTGTTCTCTACAGTCAAATTCTACAAAATTCTTCACTATGCTTTCTCCCCTTACTAAAAGTATGTTTGCCTCATTTTCATTTTGACAGCACTTTTAATATCAACTGTTAGCAAGTTAATTGTTAAAGGTTAACAGCATATAAAATGCATGACATGTAAAAAGTAAAAGTGTTAATATGTGTCGTTTAAAAGAATTTCAGCTTTAAAGGTAACCAATTTATAAAATGATGATGTGTTGCATAATTCACCATAATGATCATATTAGCTGAGTTCTGATGTGTCAAAACTTGTGTGTATGTTTTTTTTGTTGTATCAGTGACATTTTTAATGGTTTTATTGTTTTACCCTAGCAGTCTCCTCTCTGAATAGTCTTTTCTCTTGTTAGTGGCGGTGCCTGGTAACTTTGGTAGTTGAAACAACCATCTTTGTTGTGTGAGGCATATATCATCATGACTGAAACATGGTATTGTTGGATAGCAGGCTAATACTGCAGTTCTACAAAAAAATATACTCATTGAGCCAATAAGTAAAAATAGAAACTTTTTATACTTTTTATAGACATATAAATTTCATTTATCTACCTTTTCACACTGAAAAAATAAAATGCTTTGCTGGGCGCAGCTTGATACGACCGCAGAGGTCGAACCCTGAACAGTTGGGGCAAGTATGGACACAACATTAAAGCTTGATACAGCTCTGAATTTGGATTGTGATTAAATATTTGACACAGCATAGGTTTCTGACACAGAAAGAATGTGGTCTAAGAACTTCAATTTTTTTTAATTTACCTATTATGGTCCAATGTCCAAAATCAAAATACATGGTTAGATTCAGCATATCAAAGAACCCCATATATTCAATTTTTGTTGAAATCAAACAAAGTTTAATTTTGGACCCCAACTTGGACAAACTTGGAAACTGGGCCCATAATCAAAAATCTAAACACATGTTTAGATTCAGCATATCAAAGTACCCCAAGAATTCAATTTTTGCTAAAATCAAACTAAGTTTAATTTTGGACCCTTTGGACCTTAATGTAGACCAATTTAAAAAACGGGACCCAAAATTAAAAATCTAAATACACGGTTAGATTTGAAATATCGAAGAACCCCAATAATTCAATTTTTGATGAAATCAAACAAAGTTTAATTTTGGACCCTTTTGACCTCAATATGAACCAATTTGATAGCAGGGTCCACAAATAAAAAATCTAAATACATGGTTAGATTCAGCATATCAAAGAACCCCATATATTCAATTTTTGTTGAAATCAAACAAAGTTTAATTTTGGACCCCAATTTGGACCAACTTGAAAACTGGGCCAAAAATCAAAAATCTAAATACATGTTTAGATTCAGCATATCAAAGAACCCCAAGAATTCAATTTTTGTTAAAATCAAACAAAGTTTAATTTTGGACCCTTTGGACCTTAATGTAGACCAATTTGAAAACTGGACCCAAAATTAAAAATCTAAATACACGGTTAGATTCGGCATAACAAATAAAAAAATGTGGTCAAAGATTTTACAAATCTAATGCGCCATACTGGTCTTCCTTTATAAATATGCATTTCTTTAAACATAATTTAAAAGCAGTGTAAGGGAAGTAACCAAAACGTATTTGGATTACCTCCCTTTCACTGTTTTAAATTATCTTAATTGTTCATTAACCATTACTTTATACATAATTTAAAAGCAGTGTAAGGGAGATAATTTCAATGATGTATTTGATTTATCTCCCTTACACTGCTTTAAATTATGTTTTGTACTAAAGTATTTGTCCATTAATGAGGACAACCTTGTTTTTCCCCTTTTTTGCCCCTAATTCTTAAACGGTTTGAGCAATAACCCCCCAAAGCAAATCCTAACCATCCCTTTGGGGTATGGAAACTTGTAGTATAATTTCAGAGAGATCCATACACCGTTCCACAGTTATTGTCTTTAAACTAGAAAATACTTATTTTTGGCCCCTAATTCCTTAACTGTTGGTACCATAACCCCCAAAATCAATCCCCACCTTCCTTTTATGGTATTGAACCTTATGGTAAAATTTCATAGAGATCTATTCACTTAAACTAAAGTTAGAGTGCAAAAACTAATGCGTCTTCTGACGACGACGACGCCAACGTCATACCAATATACGACCACCAAATTTTTTTTTCGGTCGTATAAAAAACTATTAGCAAAAGAGCCAATAATGATCATAAATATAAAATAAGGAGATTTAGTGTGATTTAAATTGAAACAGATGCTGTTAAGATATTAAGCAAAGTAAACCTAAAATATTTGTTAAAGGTTTTGTGGGACCATGAGTTTCACTTCTGATTGCTGCTGTCAGTGTAAAAGTGAACTGTTAACTGCTAAAATCTTAGTCCATTTTAAAAGTAAAATACAGAAAAAAATATATTAAATATAATGCTCCACTGGGGCGTAGCTTGATACGACCACAGAGGTTGAACCCTGAACAGTTGGGGCAAGTATGGACACAACATTCAAGCTTGATACAGCACTGAATTTGGATTGTAATTAAATATTTGACACAGCATAGGTTTCTGACACAGAATGAATGTGGTCTATTCTCTAAGAACTTAAAAAATTTTAATTTATCTATTCAAACCATATCATTATTATTTGCTTTTATATATAAATCAGAAATATCCAATTTAAAATGGAAAATTTTAAAGAAAAAAAATGAAAAAAATCTCCCCCCCCCCAAATTTTTTGAACCCCCTTATGATTCATCACCCCCAAACTCAAACCCAGCCTTCCCTTTGTGGTATGGTACCTTGCAGTACTGTACATACATGTGATGGACTGTGAAACTAAGATCAGGAGTTTGGGGAATTTAGGTCAGGAGATTAGGACTCAGATCAGGAGGTTTTTAATCGACATAAATTCTGTTGTAAATGTTACCGTGTGCTGTAGAAATTGTCTGTTAAAGTGTGTTTTCTTCAACTTTCCATCCGAATGTATTATGCCAGTGATATTGTTGTCTTTTTTCAAAACTACCTCTACCGTTTTTTATTGGGAAAAATGCATATTTTTTAATGAAATTGGGAAATTTGTATATTTTATTCTAAACACATCTCCGATTTTTTGCTGGCCTTTGCTGTCTTTTTTGTACTATTTTTTCATGCATATTTTGGTTGTCAGACATTTTCAACCTGAAAGGTACTTTTCGGAGAGGGGAAAGAAACAGAAGCAATGATGGTACTTAATGCATTGAAACCCACATGTGTTACAAACACCATGATGATTCTTATCAGAAAACCGGATCTCAAAAGTGCTTTCTAATATCAAAATAATAACATGAATACGATATTTACAAACATTACTACCAATGCCATCACTGTTTGGGGAAAATGTAAAACTTTTTGGGAGGAATTTTAAGCCATTTTTTTTAGTAATTGGGAATTTTCTCTAGGGGAAAAAGCCGAATTTCGGCTGTAATTTGTGGCAAACAATATCACTGTATGCTTATAGTACCCTTGTACTTATAAATTTTCTCTATCTTTTAAAACTTTCAACTTGTTCAATCTAACATTCTTCTTTTTTAGTATGTTCTTTAAATTTTTTGGGTCATATCTTTTTTACCATTATTCATTGCAATCAGAACAATTGCTTATCTATCTGCAAGTAGATCTTTTTTATATATCTTTATGCAAGTTGATTTTTAATGCATGATAAGTAACACATTCAAACTCTAAACAAATGGAAGTTTTAACGACCTTGACTGGATATACATCCCTCGCACGGTTGGCTCGGTGCCCGAAGGCGTTTGGTGAGCGTTTAAATAATTTTGTGCCATCGGTCAGGAACAGGTGGAGGACGCCATTTTGGTAGGCCGCCATCTTGGTTTTGTGAGTTGTTTTGGTTTTTCTTTTGTTGACTATTTTGATGTTATGTCTTCACAACGGCTGCTTTCAGGGCCAGATTGGTCAGCTTGGCAGCCCGCTAACCTCGATGATGGAGTACTAGTAGATGAGTCTCGGACGTAGTATTAACGATGACAGGAAGCATTATCAGGACCAAAGTCGTGAGACAGTGAAATGGTGGTCCATCATCTAACACCTAGGATACAGCCCTCGGACGTCACTCGGCATACCACTCCCCCATCCATAATGGGTTTTGGAGTGTATGTTGACGCGGGAATTAGCCCTATGCGGATTATAGCCTAACGTAGTCTGTACAGCGCTGGATTGGTTTCTGTCATCGAAAGTAGTAAGTCGTTGATCCATCTAACAGTAAACCCTCATCGAAGATAGCGGGTAAAGGAGAGCTGACCCAGCACGTCCGTTCAGTTGTAATGACTGAGACGTGACTCTGATGTCAAACTCTAATCATGGGTCATAGTTATTATATAAATTTCAATTTAAGCCTTGAAAGGAAGTATAGAACCCTCAAATAATTTTCAAATTATTATTTTTTTATTTGTCCTAAGACATTTAAAATCATTTAATTACCATCCTTTTATGATTATTTTGTTCAATTTATATTTTATTTATATTCTTTTAAAAATTTACATTATTTAAAGGAAAGTAACTTAAAACAGGATAAATCAAGGGAAGTAACCCAACATTCATTTTAAATACACAAAGTTTTATTACACAACGTGAACGGCAGTTAGCCTGAGGTAAAAATCGCTGATTACCAGTATGTTTGACACCCAAGGTGACAAGTGAAGCCATGTAATTATGCATGTTATTTGATTTACAGGTAAAATATAACTTCAGGTAATGTCAGTTACACCAGATATGTTGGGCTGAAATTTTTCATTCATGAAATATTTCATACATGAGTTTTTTTGGCTTCAACGGGAGGTCGGGGGGAGACCCCTGAAAACAGGATTATTGTACACCCGTTGGGAGGTTCACATGTACAATTTCAGAGAGATCCATACACTTGAACACAAGTTATTGTCTGGAAACTAGAAAAATGCTTGTTTTTTGGCCCCTTTTTGGCCCCAAATTCCTAAACGTTTAGGGCAATTACCCCCAAACACAAACCCAGCTTTCCCTTTGTGACATGGAACCTTGTAGTACAATTTCATAAAGATCCATACACTTACACACAAGTTATTGTCCTGAAACTAGAAAAATGCTTGTTTTTTGCCCCTTTTTGGCCCCTAATTCCTAAAATTTTAAGGCAATTACCCCCAAAATCAATCCCAGCCTTCCCTTTGTGGTATGGTACCTTGCAGTACAATTTCAGAGAGATCCATACACTTGAACACAAGTTATTATCTGGAAACTAGAAAAATGCTTATTTTTGGCCCCTTATTCCTAAATGTTTAAGGCAATTACCCCCAAACTCAATTCCAGCTTTTCCTTTGTGATATGGAACCTTGTAGTACAATTTCAGAAAGATCCATACACTTACACACAAGTTATTGTCATGAAACTAGAAAAATGCTTGTTTTTTGTCCCTTTTTTGGCCCCTAATTCCTAAAATTTTGAGGCAATTATCCCCAAAATCAATCCCAGCATTCCCTTTGTGATATGGAACCTTGTGGTACAATGTCAGAGAGATCCATACACTAACACACAAGTTATATCTGGAAGCTACAAAAATGCTTATTTTTGGCCCCTTTTTGCTTAACTGTTGGTACCATGAACCCCAAAATCAATCCCAACCTTCCTTTTGTGGTACTGAACCTTATGGTTAAATTTCATAGAGATCCATTCACTTAAACTAAAGTTAGAGTGCGAAACCAATGTGCCTTCGGACGACGACGACGACAACGTCATACCAATATACGACCGCAAAATGTTTTTGCGGTCGTATAAAAATGAAGGGAAAAAAATCTAAATTTTGCTTCAGCAATTATCTCTTAATCATAAACAAATGGAGAATGTGTCTAAGAGCCACAGATACCCCCGCTTGTAAATATGAATGAGTCAACTTCCACATACAGATGCAGGATTCACATAGTTAAGACCGTTTTATGATTATAAGCATTGTATATTTATTTCATAACATTTGACTGAGGCAATCTAAAGTTAGAGAACAGAAACAACAGATTTAGCAAATTTTTCCATTTATTAAAGGGCATAACTCTAGAACATTAAAAATGACGCCACCTAATTTCATACTTGATCGTGTTTTGTGGTAATAAGCATTGTGTATAAGTTTCATAACATTTGGTTGAGGCAAACTAAAGTTAATGAACGGAAACAAAAAATTCAGCAATTTTTATGTTTATAAAGGGGCATAACTCATGAACGGTAAAAGTGAAGCCACCCAATTTCGAACTTGATCTGTGTTTTGTGGTAATAAGCATTTTGTATAAGTTTTTTAACATTTGGTTGAGGAAAACTAAAGTTCGAGAACGGGAACCAATTTTGGGTACGGACCTACGGGACAAACAAGGGTAACACTTAGTCTGCTACAGCCAGGGCATAAAAAGCTTCTGTCTATGTCTGATTAATTTGAAGAAGTTTGGCAAAGTTATGATAATTATTTGATAAGTCAAGATTTTTTCAACTGATTTTTGCAGGTTGTTCTTATATTTATATACCACACCACTCGGATCTTTATAGCTTACTATAGTTGTCTGATTTGTAATTATGCCATATCTCCTTATTGTTATTCTGTAGATACATTCCCTGATTACTATACAATGGAAGGATCTACCATATCTACTGTTTAAAATTTTAAGATGTGGTATGCTTGCCAATGAGACAACAATCCAACAGAGTCTAAATGACATGGATTTAATCAGCTATAGATCACTGTGGAGCCTTCAACAATGAGCAAAACCCATACCGTATAGTCAACTATGAAAGGGTCTGACATGACAAAATGTTACACAATTCAAACAAAAAGGAATAAATTGCTTCGCCGAGCCCAGCTGGATACGACCGCAGAGGTCCAACCCTGAACAGTTGGGGCAAAAATGGACACAATATTCGCGCTTGATACAGGTCTGAATTTGGATTGTAATTAAATATTTGACACATAAAAGGTTTCTGACACAGAATAACTGTAGTCAAAGAACTTAGAATTGGTTATATGATTTGAATTTATATTAAATTTTTTGCTTTTGTGCAATACACTTTGCTGTTGCGAATTGACCCCCCCTCCACCCACAAAAAAAATTAAAAAATTGACCCCCCCTTTTTTTGTTGCTTTTCTGCAATACACTATGCTGTTGCGTATTAACCCCCCCCCCCCCCCCCCCCCCCCACACACACACACACACACACTTTTTTTGGCAAAAAAAATAATATTTGAAGAATTTTTCTTTTTAATTTCTGAAATCTGAAAATGAGAAAAAATTGACCCCCCACAATTTCTTTTTACCCCCCCCCCCTTTTTCCCCCCAAGTAAATTCTTTCCCTCAAGATATGGTCATAATCTCAATTCAAATTTCCAATGGAGTTTGCAACTATAATTACCCATTTAAATTTACCATAGTGCTAACTTAATCTATTTTATAATAGAATTTAAATGATAGTGTCAAATCTTTCATATGGATTTTTTTGTAAAAAAAAAAAAAGATAAAACATTTGCAGATATTTTTACTGGTCTTTCTTTATAAATATGCATTTTTTTAAACATAATTTAAAAGCAGTGTAAGGGAGGTAATCAAAACGTTGTATTTGGATTACCTCCCTTACACTGCTTTTAAATTGTCTTAATTGTTCATTAACCATTACTTTATACATAATTTAAAAGCAGTGTAAGGGAGGTAATTCAAATGATGTATTTGAATTACCTCCCTTACACTGCTTTAGATTATGTTTTGTACTAAAGCATTTGTCCATTAACCAGGACACACTTGTTTTCCCCCTTTTTTGCCCCTAATTCCTAAACGGTTTTAGCCATAACCCCCCAAAGCAAATCCTAACAATCCCTCTGTGGTATGGAAACTTGTGGTATAATTTCAGAGAGATCCATACACCGTTCCACAAGTTATTGTCTGGAAACTAGAAAAATGCTTATTTTGGGCCTGTTTTTGGCCCCTAATTCCTAAACTGTTGGGACCATAACCCCGAAAATCAATCCCAACCTTCCTTTTGTGGTTATAAACCTTGTGTTTAAATTTCATAGATTTCTATTTACTAATACTAAAGTTACTGTCTGGAAACCAAATGTCTTCAGACGACGACGTGATACCAATATACAAACGGAAAATTGTTTGTGGTCGTATCAAAACAGTCGATCGTCCACCATTATAGAACTTGTCCGAGATATTGCTGATATTAACCTATAGTATAAGTTTTATAAAAATCTGGCAAGAATTGTACCTGTGAGAGCGCTAACAAGGCCATTTTCCATAAATTTAATATTTTCAAGGGCATAACACTTTAAAAAAAAGTCGATCGGCCACCATTATAAAACTTGTCCGAGATATTGCTGATATTAACCAATATATAGTATATGTTTTATAAAAGTCTGGCAAGAATTGTACCTGTGAGAGCACTAACAAGACGGGACGGACGGACGGCCGGTATTTCCATGTCCCCCGCAACACATTACGCAGGTGAGAATAAAAAATTTAAAGGTTTAAACTTAATCTTTGGCTGGACAGTTTTCTCTATAACAGGCATATTACATGTATTAAGGGTCATAAAAGTGGCAAAAAGAGTAATTAATGTAAAAACAAACTCTAATTAAAAACCCTGCATAAAAACAGTAACTAGCAAGGGTTAATTGGTGGATTTGATTTACCAGTACACCCCATACATAAACAAGTAATGGACATAGATTAGTTTTTATTTAGTTGTCTTCAATGTTTGACTGATTAGCAACTAATTAATTTAAGCAATCATTTGAATACATGATTTAGTTTGTCAAAAATTAAATAAAAACTAAGCTCAAATTGAACATCAAATTTTAAAGTACTTCAGAGCAAAAATTGTTCAATAAGAACTTAAGTCTCAAGGAACTAGAGTACAGGACAGATAGAGAAATCTTTGGTTATTTGATGACCCAGGAGGGTAATTTACAAATCTCAGGTGAGCTGGTTAATTCATGGGTCACACCCGCAAAATACAGGTCAGTTGACAGGTACAGTAAACATTTGTAGATAAACACTTAGTATCACAGACTGGTTCAGTTTTATTTAAAATCATAAACTTCAATTGAACTTATTTCTAATATCTGTGATAATGATGATATGAAACTTTATTTGACAAACCACATTAACACATGTGGTACGAGCAATTCTTCATCTCCTTCACCAGGATTCAGTATTTTTTAAAGTACCTAAAGATTATATACATGTATAACATGATATATACTGGTGTGCTGGTAATGATTTACGATTTTTATATTTTGAGGCACAAAAAAAAGGAAATTACATAAGATAAAATAACACAATCATGTATACAGTTTTAGAATAGGAAAATTGTGATTAAAATCAATTTGTAAAGGGGTATATGTGTTTACATCAAGATACTGAGAACAGCTGGAGTGAGCTACATGTATAGCCTATACAAAGTCAAAAATCAAAGTATAGTGAATATCAGTTTTAGTTTATCTGATACAATTCGTTCTACTGCATAACTTAAAAAAAGTTATCTGTGTAGATATTATTTTAATTGACATACCTATCTAAATTACTTTCTCTCTTAATTTGCCTAAATACACGGCAAATTATTGTCCCTGGTCGAGTCAGGTTTCGTAAAGTTGCCATTCATAATTAATGACCTTGACCATTTGCAATAACTTCCGGTTTTTATTCGTCGGGTAACGTTTTGTTGAATAAAGGATTGATTACTCGAGCGCAAGTAGCGCTGGAGTTATCTATTTCGTTGCCAATTTCATTGCTAGATAAGTAAGTCATAGTGCTGTTCATTCAAATTTTATATTCTTAATTTTGCATTAAGATTAAAAATTCGTTTGTGCTTTTTAATAATTCTATTTGTGCTTTAAATTACAGTTTTGCTTAAATTTGTATAATTATGTATGAGGGTAGGAATGCCCTTTACCGTCAGGCGTCAAACGGTCATTTTCGGCTACCGTTTGCCTCAAATTGGTTAAAATTTTTATCGTGATTCGTCAAAATATCCTTATCGTGATTCGTCAGAGGTATGAAATAATTAACCGTTACCGTTATTTTAGGAAAGAATTTAACGTGATTCGTCAAAATCAGTTGATTTTTATTATCGTCATAAAGAAAAGGTTCATTTTATCGTCAGGCACCTAAACTTACCGTTAACGTCATTTGGCAAGATTATTTACCGTTATTCGTCATGAAGGTACCCCCATTACGACCCTCATGTATAAATGTTATTTATTTTTCGGTAAAAAGCTCTCAAGAGCGTATGTTTGTATTCTTACTAGTTTATAATTGTAAATCGACTCAAAATAAAGCTTCCGTATTTGTATTCGTATACTATGTTCGTCAGTTTTCACTATGAATCATTTATCCCCAATCCATTTCAAATTATATTCGCACCATTTTCTCATACTCAGTGTGAAATCTATTACACCAAGAGAGGCTGTTTCGGAAAAAAAATGAAAACCATTAACAGCTTATGATACTATAAGGCAACGACAATTCGTCTTTTCTTGCGGACATGTGATTTATCAAGTTTAGATAAACTTGTTTGAGTCTAAATTTCTCGAAAAATAATTTAAGAAGGATGTGGAAAAAGATGTTTTCTTTCAAGGAGAAGAAGAAGAAGAAGAAGAAGAAGAAGAAGAAGAAGTTTTATTTTGCATTAAATGGGCTCACGAATAGCATATTACAATATGACATTATTTAAACAACTACATAAAACAATAATGTAGTATACATACAACGAACAAAAAAAAAGTTTGACATGAATGAACAACACACACATATAAATAAATATATATATACGTTTACAAGTGTAATATCTCCTTCTCAGGCACACCCCAACATCAAAAAGTGCTTTTAATAAATTGGCAATTTATTGGATATATAACTTAGTTTAAATAAGATTAGTTTCTGGCTAGGACTCAAGTACTTAAAGTTAAGAAAGAGCGAGTTAATCTTGGAGTACATGTAATTTCTCCTAGTTAAAGATGATGTGTATGAAAATAAAAAAAATATTTTTCATCATCAATTTCATTTGAGGTGCACCTGAGACATACTCGGTTTTGTCGAGAAATACCATAATATCGACCTTGTTCAATTCTAAGTCTATGTAACGAAAAAGCGGCAATCGAGAAAAACTTCTCCTCCGCTCAGGGGATCGCAATAAAATAAGATAACTTTCAAGACCAAAATTGGTCTTGAAAGTGCTGTAGCTACAGAGCTTTCCATCAGCACAATTGTGCATTTGGAGTCTCCACTGATCCTCATAGCACTGGTACAGATATTTTTTGTATAAAAATTTAAAGCTATAATTGCTTGCAGAAGCTCAACTGTCAACCCCTTTAATATTCTTTAGAAAGAAGTATAAGGATCCATACCATGACGGAATTTTTTACTCTAAATAGGCATCTTTTAGTAATGGAAAAAATTAACCCACATTTTCAAGCCTATGCCAGTATCTTATCATAGACTTTGCAGTGTAAATATGCAGAGGGAATCTACCTAGTTCAGAAAGAGTGGAAAATTTGTTGCCCTTTTGCCAACGCTAAGTAAATGTTTACAAAATTTAATATGTAGTTTTCTAAAAGAAGCTTAGATAAGCCTGATCTACAGTTGTAGTCATAGATTTTAATATATTTTTTAAAGGGTTAACATATCCCCAAATTTCTGAACTATATAAAAGAAAAGGTTTAATTGTATGATCAAATATATGAAGGTTGTTTTTTTAAACTTGGATTCAGTGACAGAAAGTCCTTGCTTGTATGAGGCATGTGCGTCCTGGTGAGCTCACTGAATATATTAGTTTTACCACATACATATGGTGCATGTAGCCTAGGTCGTCGAGTGGTCTAGGGTGCTGGCCGACACGGTGCAGGCGGTGTTGCCACGATGTCACAGAAGCAAGGGTTCGAATCCCGTTGAGGGAAGAACAAAACTTTACTAACGCATATTTGAAGATCTAACATTGTTGGGCTAAATTTGAGACGAATTATATATATTTTCTATATTATTGTGTTAACCCTGTATAACCACGTGTTATCCGATGGAGAATGTCTGTCTTAAAGTTGTCACATGTTCAGACTTGTATATATATATATATATATATATAACCTTTGCACCTTTTGTTTGCGGTATACCATCTTTTCCGCAAGTTTGTTGTTTTCTGTTTAGTATTAAATTTATAATTAAGATCCATTTTTTACATCGGTGATCCGTGCCAATGGCAGTCAGCAGGGTTTAAGAACATTTGTTGTTCGACCTGCTAGTCAAATGCAGTTTGTTAAAATATACTTTTTCACTCATTTGGTCTTTTGGAAAAATGTTGTTTGTGCTGTATTTAGACCCCTCTACCAACAAATTTGTTTTGCATGCACACGTATAAAAATTGCGGTTTTTATCCAACGCAATCATAGGTTTGAATGTTGTTTTCAATTTAGACTTTCGTTTGGGCTTGTATTATATTTGCCTTCGGGTTTATATGATCCGTTCATCCTATTTTGACTCTTTCAAATTCAAGAGTCTATCCTAAATTGAGGTAAAATATATGGCCTTCCAAATACCGTTTCGATTCCTAACATCACTGAAGAGACATTAATTGTCGAAATCCGGATATGGTGTACAAATTTTTGCACCTCATGTTTGCGGTATACCATCTTTTCCGCAAGTTTATTTTTTTCTGTTTGGTAATAATTTAATAATAAGATCTGTTTTGTTACATCTTGTGATCCGTTTATTTGGCAATCGCCAATGGCAGTCATCAGGGTTTAAGAACATCAGTTGTTCGACCTGCTAGTCAAATGCGTTTTGTTAAAATATACTTTTTCACTCATTTGGTCTTTTGGAAAATGTTGTTTGTGCTGTATTTAGACCCCTCTACCAACAAATTTGTTTTGCATGCACACGTATAAAAATTGTGGTTTTTATCCAACGCAATCATAGGTTTGAATGTTGTTTTCAATTTAGACTTGTTTTTATTTTTTCGTTTGGGCTTGTATTATATTTGCCTTCGGGTTTATATGATCCGTTCATCCTATTTTGACTCTTTCAAAATTCAAGAGTCTATCCTAAATTGAGGTAAAATATATGGCCTTCCAAATACCGTTTCGATTCCTAACATCACTGAAGAGACATTAATTGTCGAAATCCGGATATGGTGTACAAATTTTTGCACCTCGTGTTTGCGGTATACCATCTTTTCCGCAAGTTTATTTTTTTCTGTTTGGTAATAATTTTATAATAAGATCTGTTTTGTTACATCTTGTGATCCGTTTATTTTGGCAATCGCCAATGGCAGTCAGCAGGGTTTAAGAACATCAGTTGTTCGACCTGCTAGTCAAAACAAAATTTCAATGGCTTAAAATGCTATATGTCAGTGCGATTACGTTTAAAAAACAATGAAAAGGTTCAAATATATTACTTTTCAAAGAACGAGACCAATGCATTTAACCAGTTTGATGATACTGTAGTACGTAACACGTACACTCGTGAAAAGCATCGCATATTTAGATATATTATTGTTTGCCACATCTTATGCATGGACAACGGCATTGGTATATCTGGATATATCAAACATATCCACGCTCAGGTAAATATGGTGGAACTATCCAACAAGTCAACGCCCAGGAACACATGTTGTATCGATCCAAACATACGTATATCGATGTCGATTCAACCAAATATGGATATCATACAGTAAATATTCGTGTTGTAAACAATATTAATGTGAGCACAGACAAATATATTAAGAAAAGGAAAATGTCAATGAGACAACTATCCACAAGAGTTCAAATGACGAAGAAAAAGTAGATATAGGTCACCGTACGGCCTTCAACAATGAGAAAACCCTATACCTTAAAGTCAGCTCTAACAGACCCAAACAAGAAAAGAAATTAAAAACATTTAAAACGAGAAAACTAACGACCTAAGTTATACAATACAAAGTACGAAAAAAAAAAAATATGACGGACATGAACCAACGACAACCACTGAATTACATGCTCTTGACTTGGGACAGGCATATAAAGATTGTGGCGGGGTTAAACATGTTTGTAAGCCCTCAACCATTCCCCTAACTTTGGACAGTAGTGTTACAGCACAAAAAAGAACAAACTGTAAAAATCAGTTACAAATGGATTTTTACTCAATAGATCGATACGAAGCACAGACAAACCAACCAACAAAAACAATAGATACAACTGTCAAAGTATCGATATAAGAGTACTCGCGGTTACTGAAAGCTAGTTCAAAGCCAGTTACAACTAATAAATAAATCATGTTTTCCAAGACTATAGTATCAAGCAGTACAATGTTGGATTGAGACGTACGTATATTGTATGTGTCAAGCGGGTATGTGTATTTTTTAACAGAAAATACATCCTGGATGTTTCATTTACTATTTGTCTGGATGATAATTTGTTTGATCGTTCTATGAATGGTAAACAAGAACAATTTTCAAATGCTACTATACTGTGATGAGCTAGGAGAATGTCCAAGCGTATGTTATAATTGGCCACACAGCAATAAAACACCATGATAGCGCTTAATTTCCATCTGTAAGCAGTGCTTTAAAAGAATTAAAAATACGGATCTCTATCTAGACATAACAATTACCAATATATTTCTACGGAACTCTGTGAAAAACATGAATTAAATACACGAGGTG